CCTTACATGAAAAGGGGATTGTATACTCATGACAGATACAGATGAATGGGATGAGGAGAAGATTCTATCAGTCTCCTTGCTCCAACTTGGTCCCATTTTCATTCTCATGACACTCAAAAATGAGATTATCAAATGTGTAGTTAGCCACCTGCTATGATTTAGATATGTTTTGTCTCCTAGAATGCTTGCAGTAGTTTAATCCCAAAAGTCATATGCTAATAGTGTTGAGAGGTGTTTGGAGGTGGAGCGTTTAGAAAATGATTAAGGTTAGATATAATCATTAGGATGGAGTACTCATTATTGAATCCTGATGGCTTTATAAGAAGAGTAATAGAAGCCAGACACAAAGATACACATTATCTGTCTTTTGCCATGTAATGACTTGTGCCACTTCGGGACTCTGACAGCAAGGACATCTTCCAGCTGTGGTTGTAGCTCAGTGGTAGAGTGCTTGCCTAACATGTGTGAGGCACTGGATTTGATTCTTAGCACCACATAAAAATAAATAAATAAAATATTATGTCATATACAACTAGAAGAAGAAGAAGAAGAAGAAGACGACTACGACGACCATCTTCCGTGAAGTGATGCAGCTAAAGGAGGCCCTCACAAGTGCCTGCACTTCTAGCCTCCAAAGCTGTGAACTAAGTAAATCTCTTTATTTTTTATTTTTTTTATTTTTTTTGCAGTATTGGGGATTAAATCTGGTAGCTCTGCCACTGAGCTACATCCCCAGACTTTTTCATTTTTTGAGACAGTGTCTTGCTAAATTGTTCAGGCTGGCCTCAAACTTATGATCCTCCTGCCTTAGCTTCCTAAGTTGCTGGGAATTACAGGCCTGTGCCACTGCTCCTGGCTGTCTGTTCTTTATACAGTTAGCTTGCCTCAGGTATTTCATTACAGAAACAAACAAACAAACAACAACAACAAAAAACTGGCTAATAAACCAACTGAGAGAAATAACCTTTTCCCTGAAGTATCATGCATCCATTTCCACATTCACTGAGCACCAATTGCTTATAGGCCATGTTCTGGATGCTGGTATACACAAGTGAGGTTGTAGCCCAGCCCTAAGGAATAGATAGTTCTATATAATGGTTCTCAACTTGTTCCTCTTCAATGCTCCAAGTTATTTATAGCCAACGTAACCTTGACTCACTATGATCATGGTCAGCTGGGAGAAGAGAAAAAATAATAAATGATTACAAAATCTTGTTATGAGGGGCTGGGGATGTGGCTCAAGCGGTAGGGCACTCGCCTGGCATGTGTGCAGCCCGGGTTCGGTCCTCAGCACCACATACAAACAAAGATGTTGTGTCCGCCGAGAACTAAAAAATAAATATTAAAATTCTCTCTCTCAAAAAAAAATCTTGTTATGAGTGCTATCTGTGACAGAAATATACAGAGTATGGTGGAAATTCAGAGGAAGGGGCACTGAAAATCAAACTGGGTATGGGGAGTCTATCAGGAAAGGTGTTCAAGAACTGGTAATATCTCAGTTCTGGACAAGCAGGAATTAAACAGAGAGGGTACAGGATGTGAAAGAACAAAGAAATCTGCAATATTACCCTCCATGCAATCAGTGCTTTATGACTAGAGCACTGTGAGATGTATGTGAGAGAGAAGAGACAAGGGTCAGGTTGTAGAGGGTCTGTATGTTCAGCTAAGGAAGGAGATTGAGTTTTATGCTAAACCAAATGCTATGGGGAGGTCTCAGTGAGAAGGGGTTGGAAATCATGTCACATTAAGGAATAGTTGGGGCAACAAGGATGTTTAAGTTGAGAAAGAGAAGAGTTAGGGGAGATAAATCTGGCTGGTTTCAGACACGTGCAGACTTTTTAAATTAGTTACTTCAGAATTAGAAAGGGCCAACCTTCTAACCTTCTTCCCTTTTTTTTTTTTTTTTTGGTGCAGGGGATTGAACTCAAGGGCACTAGACCACTGAACCACATCCCCAGCTCCCTATTTTGTATTTTATTTAGAGACAGGGTTTCACTGAATTGCTTATTGCCTCACGGTTGCTGAAGCTGGCTTTGAACTCTCAACCCTCTTGTCTCAGTTTCCATAGCTGCTTGGATTATAGGTGTGTGCTAGTGGCCAACCTTTCCCGAGGCTTGGTGAATCATACATGACAAGCAGGTTAGGGGCAGGTTATCAGACCTCTACTAACATCTTTTGTCAAGTGCCCCAACTGTTCATCAATCTGGGATAGCCCTCTCTCAAAACCCACTCTTTTGTCTTAAGAGTTCTCAAATTAGGGTCCATCTGTCTGCCTGACATTCCTCTGGTGATGGTAGGAGAGAATGTAGTGATGCCTCTAGTTGCAGAATTATGGCCTATAATCAGCCAAGGGAACATGTTTAAGGATGTTGTGAAAGGTTGGATCACATCTGTGGTTAGAGGTGTGGTGGAGTTGGGAGTGAATCAGAGTGAGGCATTCTTGCCCAGAGGTAAAGTTCTCCTTTTCCATCTATGTGCTTTCTCAGAACCTTTTGTGGTTTATTTCTGTTTTCTCCTGTCAAACCAAAGAGGTATTATAGTCCCCAAATCATCTTTCTTCTAATTGCAGTGCTTCTGGTGAGCAAGGCACTCTTTTCTGGAAGCTCTGGCCAGTGCAATGACTATAAGTATGAATGCATTAAAAAAAGGTAAAGGATTTTCTTTCCTGATTTCAGATTGAGCTGATTCTGCTAGCCAGGATAAATGGATCAGAAGATTAGATAGGAGAGAAATCTACCAGTCATTTATTTAACTTTCTCTAGTTCAGTGGTTCTCAATCGGAGGTGATTCTGTACCCTGGGGGACAGTTGGCAATGTGTGTCGGGGATACTTCTACCATCTAGAGGGCAGAGGCCAGGATATTGCTAAACATCCTATTATGCACAATTCAACCCCCAAACAAGGAATTATCAGATCTCAATGTCAATAGTGCTGTGGTTGAAAAATAACTGAAAAAATATTTACTTCTACAGGGATTTGGTGCTAAGAAAAAGAATCTGAGAATTAACTACTCCCTGGAGCATCAGATGGCTGGAGATAAAAACCAACTTTAATTCTATAAACTTAAGCTAAAAATCTGCTACTTGTCTGGCTCACAACTATCCATGGTTGATTCATGTCCTTTTTACAACTCTGGTCTGAAATGTTTCTGTATATTCATTGTAGATCTCTTAAAATTGGGCGGGTGGAGGGCCTGATGTTGGTGGCACATGCCTGTAATGCCATCTACCTGAGAGGCTAAGGTAGGAGGATGGCAAGTTTGAGGCCAGACTGGGCAGCTACATTCCTATCTCTATAATGATTTTTTGATAGACTAAAATAGCGGGTATCAAAAAAAAAAAGAAGAAAAGAAATATGTATCATCTTTGATTAAATGTTTCTCAAACTGCTACCCATAGACCTCTGTGGGTTCAAATATAACTTCATAAATCGAATTCTTGTAAATTTAACAATCCAAGTGTTTCCTTAGTGTTTTTTGGAGCTGGGGTTGCAGTTCAGTGGTAGAGTGCTTGCCTAGCATGTGTGAGGCACTGGGTTTGATTCTCAGCACCACATATAAGTAAATAAATAAAATAAAGGTCCATCAACAACTAAAAAATAAAAATAAAAAAAGAACATGTTTTTCTTTCAGTGATAATAAAAAAAATTAACATGAACATATTTCAAATAATTTAGATAACCTCATAAATGGGTGCTTTCCTGTGAATCTGGTTTCCTTGATTTTATTTTTCATTTATTATAATTACATGAAAACATTTTGGTTTAATGGTTTATAGGTTTAATTTTAATGGTTTATGAGTTTATGGTAGGCTAGTATTTAGTTTAGCAAGACTTAATGTTAAAATGATTGCTGCCTTAGGACTTTGCTTTAAACTCATTTATTGAATTGCCTTACCAGTAAGCAACATAGAAGAGACAATGGCTATTGATGAGTCAGGTAACTGTCTCCCACAGCAAATTAGTGCTGTGAAGTAATTACTGTTTTGTTAAGTTAAGGCCAAATGTTGTCAAAGAACACTTATGAACAAAGGTTTCATGGTACTTTGCACAAGAAAAAAATGGTGGAAAACTGAGTCACTATCCCTGGGGTGTAGGCAGGATAGGTATGCAAAGCCCAAAAGGAGTCCCAGAGTAGCAGTTACAGCCACATTCATGGAGGATATTGCTTGCAGGAACCTTGCCTTGTATATTTCAAGTTGCAATAATTGAGCAGCAGCAAAGGGTAGTAGTCTTTAACAGGGAGAATGTTTTCCTGAGATGGTATTTTTTTTTCCAAAATTGCTTTCTGGGAAACCTATTAAAATGCCAGCTTCAGAAAAAAAAAATTAATAAAACTTAAATAAATTTAATAAATTAAACCAATACAGGAATTTTCAAGAATTTTTTCCTGCCAGGCATGGTGGCACACCTCTGTAATCCCAGCGACTCTGGAGGCTAAAATAGGAATCCAGCTTCAGCAATTTTACAAGACCCTGTTTCAAAAAATGAAAAGAACAAGTGTTGTAGCTCAATGGTGAAGTGCCCCTGGGTTCAATCCCCAGTACCAGAGCCAAACCAAATCAAATCAAACCAAACCTTATAGTTAAAATAATTCTACATCTCAAAAATCTTCAATATATCCTTAATTTATTAAGCACTCTTAAGCCAGTTACAGCAACACATTTGACACGACAAAGATAAATAAAACAGGAAGAATTTTTCAAGATCATTGTCAATAAGTGAGGAGAAGACAATAGCATAGGTGTTGAAATAGAGCTAGAGGTACTTAACAGGCCCTTTGAGAAAGCCTCTTCCCAAACATCTGGGGAAACTCCACAATCATTTATATAGATGGGAGCTCAGCAGATTTCCTCTCTTTTCAAAAAAGTTGTATTCTTCTCCCCCCTCCCCCACTCTTCTCTCCCTTTCTTTTTTTTTCAGCACTGGGGATTAAATTCAGGGCCTCACACCTGCCAGGCAAGCACTTTACCAATGAGTCACTCTTTTTGTTTGTTTGTTTCTTTTCTTTTTTTTTTTTTTGAGGTGAGGTCTTGCTTGGTCCAGGCTATTCTCCAACTCATAATCCTTCTGCTGTTAGACCAGGACGCAAGAAAAGACCGCTGACTCCAATTAAAATCAAATTAAAGCAAGCTTATTATTTCAACCGGCCAGGCTGCCTCTCCCACTCCTGATACCCAGCACTTTGTCTGCATGACACAGCACTTCTCCATTTCTTATACTACTTAAGGGACCTGGGTATAAGCACAAATGGTGGAAGTGGGAGATAGGAAGCAGAACTCAGATCAGCAAGCTCTTCTTTATCACCTGATACAGGGGTGTGGGGGTGTGGAGGGTGGGGGTGTGACTGCCCTCTAAAGCAAGGGTCTAGGTTATATAGGATTCATTTAGGGTGGGCCTGGAGGGTAGTTCCTGGGGTTCATTGTATTGGGGTGGCCTGATCCCTAAGGGTGGGAGAATAGGTGCCAGTCAGGTGAGAGTTCATTTTGTGTTCCTTCCCTCTGACTGAAGCCTGGACTTTTAAATGACAAATGCTTCAATTTTACCCCAGAGCAGGTGGGTGGGGGGAATAGCTGCAGATAGGGGAAATGTCCTTGGACTTATTCTCCATATCCTTCACTGGGGACAGAATCAAGTACATAATTTTATTTATTACTATTCTTTAAATGCTAGCTGAACTCCTGTTTTTTTCTTTAATGTAAAGTACAAGTAAACTACAAGTCTGTCTTTGATTATGGCCTTTCCCTGTTCTCTTTTACCTAAGTGAGGTGTTCCTTTACTTGCAACTCTTGCCAGGCCATGTGCAAGATGCCTTCTAAGGCAGAGCAGGGTGCTGAGAACATGTTCCCTCCTGGAGAACAGTATGAGCTCCTATTTTATATCAGATACCATGTTGTGACTTGGGGACATAGAATTGGATGTGACCTATATCCTACCCTCCAGAAAGTCAGTCTAGCAGGTAGAAGCTGACATGTAAACAAGTAAAATACCTCAAAAGCATTGTTTAGGTACAAAGTAGGTAATGATCAATTCCAGGTGAGTGAAGGTCAATAACAATTTGAGACTAAGTCTGGGTGGATATAAGCAAGGTCAGAAACAGCTTTAGAGGAAATAAAGTTTCAGCTGAGTCTTTTTTTTTTTTTCCCCCAGTTGAGACTTTTAAAGACTTTTTTTTTCTAGGCCAACTAGGGGTCATGGGCTCCCCTGGCTTGAACAAAAGCCTACTTACTGTCTTGAAACAATTACACTGTTCAGGGTATTATCATGTGAACCGGATGGAAAAGTTATAGTAGAAATAATAGCTAACACTTCTAATGCACAGTAAAGAGCTAGATGCTGGGCTATAAAAGCTACAGACTATCTCAATTAAGTCTATTATTTTCATTTTAAAAGTGAGAAAATAATGCTTAGGAGAGACTTGCCCAAATTCACATATAAAATGAGAGTGAGTTGTAACTCAGGAAATTGACTATAGAGCCCCAGATTTTTAAACCACAAATCAAAGGACTGACATGATCAGATTCATAAAGATTTCATTCAACCTCAGTGGAAGGGAAGGAGGGATGGGTAGATGGGAGAAAGAAGCATCCCTGCAATAAACAATGGAGGAGCCTGTCGAAGCAGTCAGGGTTATGTAGGGCCAGCCTAGGAAAGGCTGGAGGACCCGGACGGACCTGAGAAGTACTTGGGTAGACAGTTCTCAGAAGTTGGGATGGTTAGACGTGGTCTTCCGTGGGCAGCAGCGAGGACCCTTACCCTGGTTTGGGTAGTGCCTTTGCACGGTCCGGGTCCGGGAAGTAAAGGGAGTGCGGGTTCGGTTCCCCGCGGAGATCACTGATCAAGGAGAGAGCGATTAAGAGGGTACCTCGTGGGCTGGGGATGTGGCTCAAGCGGTAGCACGCTCGCCTGGCGTGCGTGTGGCGCGGGTTCGATCCTCAGCACCACATACAAAGATGTTGTGTCCGCCGAAAACTAAAAATAAATAAATAAATAAATATTTAAAAAAAAAAAAAAAAAAAAAAAAAAGAGGGTACCTCGTCTCCAGGCCACCCCTGGCAGAGAAGCCACAGGTACTTTTCTGGGCCCAAAGACTACCCGGCAAAACAAAGTGCCGAGTCACCCTCCTGGGGCTGCGGCGGGCGGGACTCCGCCGGATCCCCCACCTCTTTCCTCCTCCCACACCCCCAACCCGCTTCAACTCTCGCGAGAGTCCTGCTAGCTATAAAAGGAGCGCCCCGCGCTTGCTTCGCACGTCCTTTTCCTTGCTGGTCGTCGTTTCTAGAGTCTTGGGAACTTTCGTGTCTGAACTGGTGAGTCCCCGGACAGCACGGCCCTGGCAGAGCCAGGTGCAGCGCTTCACACTGGCGCATCGCCTTTCTCCTGTTTTTTCCTTGGCTTCTTGCGCCTCTTCAGGGGTGAGGTGGCAAGGCAAGGCCTGGTGCTGGACAGTGCTCAGGCTGTAAACGTACTCCCCACGTGGCCCACTCGGTGGGTGCAGGGACCTGGGGAAATCCGAGGCTAATTTCCTATCATCATGGCAGCCCGAGTTAGAGAGCGCTGATTGGCGCGGCGGGACCGGCTGCGGGTGGTGAAGTCTTTTCTTTGATAATATACTCCTGCCTGGAGGGTTCAACCTCTTTGCAGCTCTGCTGGTTTGTGGGGGTTTTCCGAAGTGTTAGGGGTCGGGGGAAGGTGGCAGGAATATCTGAAGTAGGGTTTGGCTCACATTCCTGGCCAGGGTTCTTAGATTCGGTGAAGGGGCCCGCTACCAGCCGGAAGTCTGCCTTTTCCCAGATTGGTTGGGCTTCGGACTTGCAGGCCACCGTGCAAAGCATGTTTACTCAAGAAGGCCATTTATGTTAGGGTCACGCCCTGTGGATGGTCGCTAAGTTACAGCATATTTTTTGCTAAAGGTGTTAAAAGATTTCTTTTTTTATATAGTAAAAAGTTTGCGACGATAGAAGCTCAGAACTTTTGCCCCCTCCCGCCCCCCAGTACTGAGGATTGAACCTAGGGACATTCTACCACTGAGCTACATCCCCACTTTTTTTTTTTTTTTTGGTACGGGAATTGAATCCAGAGACGCTTAAACTCTGAGCCACATCCCCAGCCCTTTTTTTCATTTAGAGACAGGGTCTCCTAAAGATGTTTAGGTCCTCGCTAAATTGCTGAGACTGACTTTGAATTTGTAATCCACCTACCTCAGCCTCCTGAATTGGGATTACCGGCCCCCCACCCTTTTATAAAAAATAATTTATTTATTTATATATGACAGTGGAGTGCATTAGAATTCTTATTCCACATATAGAGCACAATTTTTCTTATCTCTGGTTGAATACAAAGTATATTCACACCAATTCATGTCTTTATATATGTACTTTGGATAATAATGTCCGGCACATTCCACCATTTTTTCTAACCCCATTACCCCCTCCTTTCCCTCCCACCCCGCCCTATTTAGAATTGTCTATTCCTCCCACGCTCCCCCCTCCCCACCCTTATTTGAGGCAGGATTTCACTAAATTGCTTATGCTGGCCTTGAATTTGCCTTAGTTCCAAGTAGCTGGGATTACAGGCGTGCTCCCCCGCACCTGGAACCGACGTTTCTTTTGGTTATGGTATTATGAAGGAAAAACTTTGGGATTTGGAAAATTAGTTTCTTGAGGCTTTCAGACTGATGACTTAGTGATTTAAGTCTCAACAACTTATCTTGGTTTTGACCTGGGTGAATCCAGCGCAGCGTTGCGTTTTAGCAATAAATTGAATCTTGTTTGCTTCTTTTAACGCCAGGATTTTGGTCCTGAGGTCAGAAACTTGTTTTTTTAAAGGACTTCTGCTTAAACACAACACCTAAAATTTTGAAACTGAGTAGATGCCAATATCCTGGCCTTGCCTTTTAAAAAGTTGACTTTATTTATTCGTTTTAGTGGTGGCAGGAAAAGTTACTCTGAGCCTCACACTTGAATAGGCTTTCACTGAACTACACTCCAGCCCTGGATTGGGTTTAAGATTATATGCTCTCTTGGACAAATCTACCTGGAGAAAGGACAAATGTCATCCCACATTATGAAGGCAAATGTAGGCACAGTTCAAAGAAAGGCAACATGACTCTTGGGGAGCCAGGCATTCAGTGTTTGTGGCATTATGCCATTTGGGTTCTGGTCTGAATCTCCACCTCCTTCCCTCTCTGTTTCTTAATAAATGTGCAGAACAAAATGCCATTGCACAAATAATGGTTCAGTGAGGGTGATGGAGGTGACTTCAGTTTATAAAGAAATTGCTGAGCTATTTTTAATTGAAAACAAAGGCTGAGATTCAGAGGTTTGTATTGGTCCAAAAGTTGGAAAGCTTTAAAAAAATGTGCATATATATATTTTTAGTTACCTTTATTTTTATGTGGTGCTGAGGATCGAACCCAGCACCTCGCACATGCTAATCGAGTACTCTACTGCTGAGCCCCAGCCCCAGCCCCTGAAAATCTCTTATTTTGACTCGACTGCTAGCTTCTGCTTCTTACTAATATAAAATTTAATATTATTCAGAGCCACTGGACAGTTCTTTGATGAATCTGTAGCTAAGTTTCTATGTTGGTGAAGGCTGTTGGCTATCTGGAACAGTATGACTTGATTCTAATTCATTTGTTATGTTTTCCAGCTGATAGCAGGATGTCTTCAGGAAATGCCAAAATTGGGCACCCTGCCCCCAACTTCAAAGCTACAGCTGTGATGCCAGATGGCCAGTTCAAAGATATTAGTCTATCTGACTACAGAGGTAAGAGTAATTAAGTTGGGCTCATTAAAATAAAATCTTTTTTTGGGAGGGGGGGTACTAGGATTGAAATTGGGTACTCAGTACTCAGCCACATCCACATCCCCAGCCCTAATTGTATTTTATTTAGAGACAGGGTCTCACTGAGTTGCTTAGTGCCTCACTAAATTGCTGAGGCTGGCTTTGAACTCATGATCTTCCTGTCTCAGCCTTCTGAGCCACTGGGTTTACAGGTAAAAAAAAAAAAATCATTTTATAATCTAGGGATGATTTGTTAGATTTCCCTGTGTTTCTTATGTTTGACTATAAAATGTTTTGTCTCCTAGGACAGTCTTCAGAGAAAAAGGCTTTAACCTTTATGTTGATGTGATTATCAACAGGAGAGATCTTAGGTCAAACCTTTATACTTTTGGAGAAAGTATGCTTTTTCATTTTGTGTGGACATGCTAGCTTAATTACCTTTTCAGTGTCCCTTTTCAATTACATTAAGGGAAACATTACATCTTGTATAATAGGACTTCTACATTTAGTCTGAGAGCTCTTTGGAGTTGTGATTTTGCTTATTTAGTTTGTGAAAGGTTTGCATCACAGATCTTACATTATTATGTAGAAATCTTAGGCACATTCCCTTCACTGTTTTACCCCCAGGGAAGAGTTCATGATGCAGTTGGAACACCTCCTCTTTCTGTTGTCATAGTTCCATGCAGACACTTGCCAAGTTCTGTGGAGACTCTTCCATTCTTGACTTGAAGTCCCAGAGCAGCTTGGTCTTCTGGGACAATTGAGGTTATAGAGTCCTTAGAATATAAACCTTAAATATAGTTGTCAAGTGTACCTTTCTTGGGTGGTATAGTTTCAATTCCTGACATCAGCTATTTTTGAAGTGGGAGTCTCACTGTGTTGTCCAGGTTGGGCTTGAATTCTTGGGCTCAAGTGATCCCATCTCAAGAGTCCCAAGTAGATGGGACTATAGGTGCATGCCATGCCCAGTTGGAGTTAAGCTTTTAGGTAGAACTTTCATTTAGATTTCCTGACATATCACACTTTTTTGTGAGATTAAATAGGGCCTTAGGAGGAAATTTTTCTGGCAAACAAACCACTTTGACACTGGCCCAAAAGCATAGGCATATGGTTACAGAGCTGCTCTCTACTCTCTAGGGCTTGACCTTCTGAGGCTTCAAAGTGTTTGTTAGGCAAAACCCTGGAGATTGTTTACATAAATCAAAGGATACTTGCTTTTGGAAATAAGTGAATATTTGGAAATGTTCCATGGTTCAACAACCATTAGGTATGGTGAGAGGGTGGCTTCATTGTCATTGTAAAGGTCATCCAGGAGTAATGTCAGTGACTAAAGTAAAATTGTAGCTAGAAGTTCAGTTATCTTCTATAATTCTTTTGGAACTTTTTTGCTTCTAAAAATTTTCTTCTGGGTCTTGTCAGGTTTGTTAGGAAAATATTTATTGTGATTCATGATGACATCACTTAAATCTTCCTGTCCTGCCTAGCATACACATAGCCTGGGGTTCAATCCCCAGTAACACATAAAAACACACAAATTCCTACTGTCCCATTACTTGTGATTTATGTTGGAAGAAGTGCAAAGGCTCTGACTTCCTTTTGTTGGTCTTTTACCACATGTCTGTGGAGGAAAACCCACCAAGTAAGCTTTTTCTGGGCATTGTTTTTAAGCACTGGCTTTAGGCTATATAGATAATTGCATCTTTGGTTTTATTTCTTTAGAGAACTTGGGAGTTTATGCTAATATTAGCCACCTGGAGAAGGTAAAAGTTACTATTGTTTTTTTTATGCTGTGTGTATTTGGTGCTGGCACAAACCCCAAGGTCTGATGCTTGCTAGCCTGCCATTATGTTACACTACCTCAGCCCCAGAAAAGATTGAAAATTAAGACTGAATGGTGTTTATTCTGTAGCTGGCAGCTAAGAACATTGAAGGAGGAAAATAAAGTATGGAACTAGAAGGAGCTGTTTTTCATTCCTGTCCTTCCTGATGTGACAGATTATATAAATTGCTGCTTGGAGATATTTTGAACATCTTAGCACGAGAGATACTATGTCTGTCATCACTTAAAAAGACCTCTATTTCTTTAGAAATTTATTTTGGGAGGGATATCTTTATTTATTTATAGGTGGTGCTGAGGATGGAATCCAGGGCCTTGCACGTGCGAGGCAAGCACTCTACCACTGAGCCATAACCCCAGTCCCTTGATTTACTCTTTATAAAGCAAGGAAGTCTGTTTCAATGCTAACCTATGACTCTTTTCTCCTTCCAGGAAAATACATTGTGTTCTTCTTTTACCCTCTTGACTTCACCTTTGTGTGCCCTACGGAGATCATTGCTTTTAGTGAC